GTGTCCCTGAACTTGCATTTTGTTAAGTGGGAGGGAGTGGGGCAAGGCTCATTGAGATCGAGATTCACTACGCTGAACGTGAGTGCGGGTAATTGCCCGTCCTCCACCCTCTCGTGGATCCGCCATAACACCCTTCCGCCATCCCGATCGCAGACGAGGATAGTGTGTCCTGCGATGCGGATGTGCGAAGCGTGTTGTTGAGGACCGACCGGGTTCATCTATATAACCCATCCAAGGCTTGTCACAGAGGGGGAAGTGGGTTTATTTTGGTTGATCGGTTTTCTCCCCCCCCCTTGATCTTGCCACCGATTAGACGGTGCTGGCCCAGGTCTGCTGCCCACACCGCGTGGCGGCCCCAGTTTAACTGCCACTGGTGTCGGCAGGGAGACTTGGGTTCCTCACGAAGGCTGGTGCTAGGATACGAAGATTCGGCTCGGTTCCCAAAATTCTCCCGCAGTGCGGGAGCCCTACCGGCGAGCTTCCAAGCCTGGGTTCCCCCAGCCTCGCCCCAATCGGACAACGAGGCTCCTAGCCGACCTCGCGGACTCAATTAATCCAACTCGGAGGCCTAGACGCTCCCTATCTCTTGGGTCCTTACATTAGAGTTGGCGTTATCCTGGTGCGAGAGAAGCGGTAGATTCCGCGTCTTCCCTTTTCTTTTCTTGTTGTCAGTTCTTTTCGTGGTCGACGGCTGAACTGCGCCTCGCTCCCTAGCCTGCGGCGGAGCGGAATTTTGTTTATACCCCGCACATTGGCCCTACTTGCCCTTAGGATTCTCCTGTTTTCCCTTTTGAGCCACCTCTGTCAGCCCTAATTCTGGAATAACCTCGGAAACGAAGCGAGAATCCCCCGTTTCGTCCGGGCGATTCAACCCCGCCCCAAATCCTCGGTCACGACCCCAATTACTCTGATTGGCGTCCCTCGGTACGAAACGTCGCGCGGGGTGTGAGGTTGTGCATCACAACCCAGCCCGCACCCATTTCCAACTACCCAAGCAACCAAGGGGTAAAAGTGGAAGTTGCATGGCAGCAATTTGAAAGCCTCTAAAGAGGGTTTTTCTGCTGAGGGTATATGGCCCTATGCAGTACCATCATAACGTGATCACAAACGGTCATTTTTACAGGCAGTGGTCTTGTTGGGGCCCACTTTGTTTGTTGCCTTGCCTGGGACCTCCAGCAAGTAGACTGAATGGGGCAGGACTAGAATACGATGCACATTATTGAAGGAGTAGAACAAAGCAGCATCTGTGCACATTGTTGCTGGCAAAAGCAGTAACGGGGTTCTCTCATTTGACAACATACAATACATCAAGATTGCTTCCTCGTCGTGGATGTGTTTTTTGAGAAAGGAGCGGGGCCAGCCATGATGCAAACTGCCTCACAAATAGCCTAGCAACCCAAACTCTCAGATAAAGCTGAAGAAAATAAGTCAGACAAGGTGCAGAGTAGGTCAGACAAGGTGCAAAGTAGGAGTCAAATCAAAATGCAACTGCAGAAACGGAATGGTTGTAAGACACACACACACACACACACACACACACACAGAGACAGAGAGAGAGAGAGAGAGAGAGAGAGAGAGAGAGAGAGAGAGAGAGAGAGAGAGAGAGA